ATTTAACTGAACAATCACTAGCAAATGTATACACAAAAAGATTGGAATGGGCTTTCATTTCATTTCTCTGTATGTCTGAAAAGAAGCATGGGTATGGAGTACAAGAAAGATTGCTAAATCCCTTCCAAGTTGTAATTAACAGGTCTTCCAATGTTCCTGTCAGTCCTGTTAATAAAATAAACAGCATTCTGTAGCCTGTACTTCTGTACAAATTTCCTCACTAATCCAGAGAGCCAAATCCAAAAGACTCTTCCCTTCTCTTCCCTCCTCATTGGCTGATTTATACATCATTTATGCTTTTGAAGCCAACCAAACTTTCTGTTCCCTTGGTGCTGACCTTCATCACTTTAAGATGTATCCACTAATCAAAGGCCCTTTTCCTAACCAGTTGGGTTGCAGGATTTCAAGCTTTTGTTTCTTCTTCTTGGGTCTCACTATGTAGCCTTGGATAGCCTGGAACTCTCTAGGTAGACCAGACTGGCCACAAACTTAACAGAGATCAGGCCAGGTGAGGTGGTGCATATCTTTAATACCGTAACTTGGGAGGCAGAAGCAGGTGGATCTCTGTCAATTCGAGGCCAGCACAGCCGAGACTTCATTGAAAGATCCTGTCTCAAAAAAAAAAAAAAAAAAAAAAAAAAAAGGGAGAGAGAGAGAGAGAGAAAGAAAGGGGGGAAAGAAAGAGAAAAAGAAAGTCATATCAATCCACCTTTCTTTTTTTCTTAATTTTATGTGCATCAGTGTTTTGCTTGCACTTATCTGTGTGAAGATGTCAGATCCCCTGAAACGGGAGTTAAAGACAGTTGTAAGCTGTGAGTTGTGAACCTGAATCCTCTGAAAGAGCAAGCAGTGCTCTTAACTGCTGAGCCATCTCTTCAGTCCGTCAATTACAATTTTTATAACTAAATTTTCCTTGTTAAAACACAAACTAATTTTCTCTGAGTCACTCTATTGAGCTACAAACACAGGGGTTGTGGGTGGGGAGGCAGAAACCACGCCTGCCATCCTTTGCTTTATGACTACCCTAGTAATGTTTAAAAACTATTTGAGTATAAGATTCCCCTAGATAAGTAATATAAAGTATGGGTCTTTCCCCCCACCCCACCCTGAAAAAAATTATAACAGAGACCAGGATTTTGTATTTTAAATAGGCACCCAGATGATTCTCTAATATGAGGCAAGTCTGGAAATCAATGACCTGGAAATTTTATTGAGACTACAAGAAAGCCTGAAAAAATATCAATTACTAAAGAGCAATAACTAATAAATTACTGTTGAGCCTTGCTTTTTTGTCTTTGAAAACAGACTTAACACATTTAAAACTTGAAGAAAACTATCTCCAGGCTTATTTCTCATTAAGTTATTCTCATTCCATATACCATTTTAAGCTCTACTTGCTAAGAAAATTAGGAAGCAAATTGCCAGACTCCTAAAACTTAAACCCAAGAAAGCATTTTTTATTACATTTATTTATTTACTTGGGGGAAGAGAATATGTCTCAGAGATCAGAGAACAACCTGCAAGAGCTGGGTTTTCTCCTTCTCCTATGTAGCACAATTACCCCTATTTTTATATAGAATATAAGCAATAACTCTTCATAGGTGAGAGTAAATTCATTCTTAAATTTACTTGAACTATGCCTCAAGTAATCCCTCACAGTGACCCTGTAGGATATACCTATTAATCCCATCCTTAGAGTGAATGACTAATTTTCACTAAATTTACACATTAAATAGCCAATCTAGGATTGAGAGTCAAGAGGGCTATCATAATACTTGTTAGATATACTTCATGCCCACTAAAGAAAGAAGTGATAAAAAAAAACAAATTTTATTTCTGTTTCTACTTGCAATCTAAAGGGCTAAGCAATTAATATGCCATTGTTTCAGGCTCTTGCAGAATAAAATAATTTGCACCTTCACCAATCATCCTTAAGGGTTAACATACAATTTCCTATTATCTGTTTGAGTCTTAGGACTTCCTAAGAAAGAAGCCCTGAGGGCTACAGAAATGACTCAGTGGTTAACAGCGCTGGATGCTCCTCTAGAGGACTCAAGTTCAATCCCCAGCACCCAAATGGTGGCTCACAGCCATTTGTAACTCCAGTTCCAAGAGATATGACTCCATATATACAGGCAAAACACGTGTAAAATGAATGCAAAAAAAAAAGTCCTAAAAGGTGTCCATAATGTTAAAGACTATGAAACATCCGTATGCCAAAGTTCCCTTCTGCAAATGCCCCAATATCAGCACTCTGGAGACCAAGACAGGAGATCTTGAGCTTGAGGCCAGCCTAAACTACCTAGCTAGTTCAAGGCCATCTGAGTTACAAAGCAAAATCCTGTCTCAAAAGGTTGGGGGTGGGGGTGGGGCTGGAAAGATGGCTCAATGGGTAAGAACACTTGCTGTGTAAACATAACGACCTGAACTCAAATATTAGTACCCACATTAAAAAGCTGGTCATGGCCTCGAGCGCCTGTAACCTGAGCACTATAAGGGACAGTTAGCTAGCTCCAGGTTTAATGAGAAACCCTGTCACAAAGGAATAAAGCAGAAAATGATACAGTAGGACACTGAGCATCCTCTTTTGGCTTCCATGGATATACCTACACACATAGGTTCACGTGCTCTAGAGCAAGCACACGTGTGCACACACACACACACACACACACACACACACACACACACACAAGTTAGCATGGTAGCACACAGCTAATAAGTTCAGCACGCAAACTAAGGCAGGAAAATCAAGAATTTAAGGTTTGCCTAGGCTACAAGACACATTGCTGGTCAACCTAGGCTATATAGCAAGACACTGTCTCAAAAAAAAGAAAAAAAAGTAATAATAAGGACTGGAGAGACAACCCAGAGATTAAGAGACCACTTGCTGCTCTTCCAGAAGACTTGGGTTCAATTCCTAGCATTCACATGGCAGCTCACAACCATCTGTTGCTCCAGTCCCAGGGGACCCAATGTCCTCTTCTAGCCTCTGGTGGCACTGCATGCACATGAATGATACATTGCAGGCAAACATCCACACACATACAATAAATAAATAAATAAATAAATAAATAAATAAATAAAAGTCTTTCAAGGGCACATCAGTTAGGCTTTACTGAGTATAAGTAGAAATCAAGTGGGGGTGGCATGGCTAAAATTTACAATGCAGCCAATTCCTTGAGAGAGTCATGGAGGATATCCATATGTCTTCTAACCCCCCAAAGTTTTCTGCCCAAAGAGGGTGCTGTTTCATAATTTGCACACTACTATATATCACTTAAAATAAATGAACATCACTTACTGAATTAGTCTCACCAACAAATGTATTAATTAAATGTCAATCTCATAAAACTCAATACAACCAACAATTCAGATACAATACAGAGGACAGAGAAACATAGTAAACAAAGCCATCTCTTCGGCAAACAAGATTCAGACTCTTTAGCAGGACAACACCATCACTAACTATCTAGTACAACTATCTAACTATCTTGAGCACACAGCAGCAGTGGACATCTGCCACTGTGACATTTCATCACAGACAGAGGATGGGTTCAGATGGTGGGGGTGGGGGAAGAGCATTTTTCAATGGTGCAGCCACCGGTAGAATATTTGAGAAGTTCAAAGGGAAAGGGGGAATAGAGTGGGTAATGAAGGACATGCTCTCAATACACTATATATATATATATATATATATATATATATACACATTTCAAGCCTAAAAGAAAAATTGCAGAGAAATTCAGCAAAACTTCTCCAAAAATCTAATAGTCTGCCAGTCATGGTAGCACATACCTGAAATTCCAGGACTTTTAAGCGGAACAATTTAAAGTTCAAGGCAAGCCTGGACTACCAATTGAGGTCTTTTCAAGTCTTTACAAACACCTGATAACACACCAACAGTATTCCCTCACTACCATTGTTCATACACTCCAGTTGACTACCTTTACTATATTTTTAATCTTAAATCATTCAGTCACAGCGACACTGTCTAAAGCAAAATAAAGGTTAATTAGGAAAAGGAACCAATTAAGGAAATTAATAATCCTATCAATTATAAATACAGCACATTGTGCAATTTATGCCCAAAGACCTTGTCTATCACACTGCAATCTACCTTTTGTAAGACTGAAACTATAGTAATATATGTACTGAAATTTTTATAGTACCTTTAATCTCAAACCACCTTTTACTAAACCACTTCACCATAAAACCAACAAATACTTTGACCAAATTTTGCACTTAATCTTCAAAATACATAAAATCACTCTCTCCTTTCACCACCAAGCAACCAAAATGCACCTACTTTCTAGAGCCACTTCCTGGGTTCCAGACTCTCAAGACCCACGTCCTGGGAAGTCTCAGGATCACTTCCTACGACGAGGGAATGATACTCACATAATCTCACCATGAGATTGCTCATGGTAAAACACTACAGCGCCTGGAATATAATGTGCACCCAATAAAAAGCCAGCCATTACCCATCTCCAAAATAACTGCCTAGAGTCTGTATTTTCTGTCTTTACACGATTAAAGTCCAAGTAAATTCATCAGAACACGTATACATACACAGCAGGTTTCCCAATTAATTCATTCAGTCAACAGCAACAGTATACACCCAAAGTAAGTTTTCATAGCACTTCTCTTTTCATTTAGTAAGGACTTAAACACTCTAATCTCCCATATTTTCGGCCAGAGATCTGTCTGGAGGCTAACTAACAACACTAGGCGGTGTGGAAACAAGTCGAGATTTTCACTGGCTGGAAAGGCAGGTGAGAGACAAACTTCTGCGTGCCACAATCAAAACTCCGTTCAAAGCAGGCCAAAGATGCCCGAGGCAAGTGGCTACAGACCTTTTAAAGGAACTACGCCCCCTTTTTTCCACACACCGCCCCCCATCCAATGTTGAAACTCACCACACCCTTTATTCCCCCCGAGTTGTCTCCTGGCATCTCCCAGGATTGTCCTCCCACCCTAGGAATCCAGGGTCTCAGACTCACAGAGTGTGTCCGCACACGTTCACCATCAGCTTCAACGAAGGGTTCCGGTATTTGGTGGTCTTACACCTGGGGCAGCCCTGATCGTCCATGGCGTCTCCTCTGTTTAGGCTTTTCCCAGACGCCGGCTTCAGCCACTGCCACCACAAGCAACCCCAGACCCGACGTCAAGCAGGATCCTACCAACAGGCACTGGGCCGGAATGGTCCTTCGCGAAAGAGCACCGGCTGGAAGCGAGGCGCTGCAACACAAAGGTTCCGGGAGCGAGTTCTCTGATTCAGGCGCTACAGTTCCATCATAACCTTGGGTGAGCCAGGTCAGTATATTGGGATGGGAGAAGGGATGCTTTTAAGTTATACACCGTTGCCTAATTACATTTTACATGGAACCATATGGTATAAGGAAAATAAATTCGTGTGTGGTTTGGAAACATCCACATGATTTCAAAGATTTATGCTGATGTACAGTCAATAACACAGACTAGTACTTTCTTTCAGAAAATTGAATAGTCTTTGCTGTTCACTTCTTTATACTTGTGTAATTGAAACATAATTTGATTCACACATATAAAGATTAGAAAAATGCTAGGTGCGGTGGCTCACACCTCTAATATCAGCACTTGGAAGGCTGAAATGGGAAATTGCCATGAGTTGGAGCCCACTCTAAACTACATAGTGAATTCCTCACAGCCTGTATTAGGGAGACCCTGTCTCCAAAATAACAAGGCAAAGTCTATTTGTTTACGTTCATGAAAGTTATCTAAATGCTATTCTTTGCACCAATATTAAAAATTCTTACTAAATGTCGGAATACTTTTTTATTTGTTTCGAGGCAAGGTTTCTTTTTTCTTTTTTATTTATTTTACTCATTTAGGTTTTTTATTTGCTTATTTTTTAATTTATTTTTATTTAAATTAGAAACAAGCCTGCTCCACATGTCAATCCCAGCTCCCTCTCCCTCACCTCCCACCAACCCTTCAACTCCCCATCTCATCCACCCTCCCTGTCCCAGGAAGGGTGAGGCCTTCCATGAGGGATCCCCAAAGTCTGTCATATCATGGGAGCAGGCTGAGAGAGCATTCCTCCACGTGGGATGGGCTTTCAAAGTCCATTCGTATGCCAGGGATAAATATTGATCTACTACCCCAAAGATTGCCGAGGCCTCCTCCCTGACACCCACGTTCAGTGTGTCTAGATCAGTTCTATGCTGGCCTCTCAGCCATCAGTCTGGAGTCCATGAGCTCCCCCTTGTTCCCGTCAGCTGTATCTGTGGGTTTCACCAGCCCGGTCTTGACCCTTTGCTTATAATTCCTGCCTCTCTGCAACTGGGTTCCAGGAATTCAGTTCAGTGTTTAGCTATGGGTGTCTGCCTCTGCTTCCATCAGCCACTGGATGAAGGCTCTAGGATGGCATATAAGATAGTCATCAATCTCATTATCAGGGAAGGGCATTTAAGGTAGCCTCTCCACCATTGCTTAGATTGCCAGTTGGTGTCATCCTTATAGATCTCTGGAAATTTCCCTAGTGCCAGGTCTCTCCTCAAACCTATAATGGCTCCCTCTTTATAGTATCTCTCATCTTCTCTCCTCTATTCTTTCCCCATTCAACCTTCCTGCTCCCCCATGTCCTCCTCTCCCCTCCTCTTCTCCCCCTCTTTTTCTCCCAGCTCCCTCCAGGGTTTCTTTGTGTAGCTCTGGAGGCTATCCTGGAACTCACTCTGTAGACGAGGCTGGCCTGGAGCTCGCAGAGATCCACCTGCCTCTGCCTCTCAACTGCTGGGACTAAAGGCGTGTGCTACCACTGCCCAGAAAAATACTTCTATAAATAATATCTTATGCCTGTTCCTCACAAAGGCCTTCCCCCGAAGACTGCCAGGCAGGCTGAATTGCACCACCTGACTCTCAAATATCTTTCCCCAATAAAAGACTACATTTACTTTCCAAAAAATTGAATAAAAGATTATTTTATAAAATAATTTGAGCTGGGTGGTAGTAGTGCATGCCTTTAATCCCAGCATTTGAGAGGCAGAAACAGGTGGATTTTTGAGTTTGAGGTCAGCCTAGTCTGCAGGGTGAGTTCCAGAACAGCCAAGGTTAAACAGAGAAACTCTTGTCTCCAAAAACAAAAAAGAAAAGACAGGGAAAAAAAGAAGAGAAAAGAAATAATCCACACAACTTTATTTCAACAATCCCAAAATCTTCGAGCCTGACTCTCTTTGAGAATTTTAAGTCACATTTGCTGCATTAATAAGAAGACTTAAAAAAGCTCTATAAGGGGGGCTGGAGAGATGGCTCAGAGATTAAGAGAATTGACTGCTCTTCCAGAGGTCCTGAGTTCAATTCCCAGCAACCACATGGTGGCTCACAACCATCCGTTATGAGATCTGGTGCCCTCTTCTGGTGTGTAGATATACATGGAAGCAGAATGTTGTATACATAATAATTAAATAAAAATCTTAAAAAAGAAAAAAGAAAAAAAGCTCTATAAGGCCGAGTGTTGGTGGTGCACGCCTTTAATCCCAGCACTTGGGAGGCAGAGGCAGGCGGATCTCTGTGAGTTCTCTACAGAGTGAGTTCCAGTTCCAGGACAGCCTCCAAAGCTACAGAGAAACTCTGTCTCAAAATACCAAAAAAAAAAAAAAAAAAACTCTATTAGATAATGAACTATTGTTACTGTAAGGGACACATCTTATTCATCTCCAAGACAAGGACTTATTGATACTTAATGAAGACTAAATGAATTAACAAATGGCCATCAAATAACAGTAACATATGGACATTTTCAATGCCAAGCATTTCTTGTAATTACCTCCATCTAACTGAAATTCTGTTTGAAGTAAACTTGTTGACAAGGTTTCGTGGTTTAGTTTGCTTGCTTGCTTGCTTGCTTGATTTAATGAGTTGTGGTTTGTTTTTTAATTTTTTATGACGTGTGTGTGTGTGTGTGTGTGTGTGTGTGTGTGTGTGTGTGTGTGTTAATGTGCTACAGCACAAATGTGGTAGTCAGAGGACAACTAACAGGAGTTGTTTCTCCAATTCTACCTGTAGTAGAGTCCTGTAGATTGAACTCGAGTCATTAGGTTAGTCATTAGGGTGCCTTTACTTGCTATGCCATCTCACCAGCCCTGTTTCATGTTTTGTTTTAATGATATTTTTATTATTTATTTGAAAATTGCATGCAATTCATTTTGATAAAATTCAATCCTCTCTCCCAACTCCTAGGTCCACCCTTACCCAGTTTCTACCCACCCAGTTTTATGTTCTCTCTCTCTCTCTCTCTCTCTCTCTCTCTCCCTTTCTATATGTGTGTATGTGTGTGTGTTGTCTCTCTCTTTAGCCCCCCCATCCAGTTTTTGTTGGCCAACTATTCTCAGATTTGGGGCCTACCCTGAAGTATACCAGTGATACCCCATCAAAGAAAACTGACCCTTCCTTTTCCAAAAGTTATCAAATATCAATAGTTCCTGAGCTAAGGGTGGAAATATGTGCCCTCTTCTGTTTGATGGCTTGGTTTTTTATCTTGTTTTTGTTTTTGAGACAGGCTCTTATACTGGCCTGAACTTACTGTACAGGCTGAACTCTAACTCGTGGCAGTCCTCCTGTCTGGGTATTCAATGTGTTGGAATCCCAAGTGTAAGGCACCACCCTTGTCTCAGACAAGGTTTTCCAAGTTAACACATTACTTGAATACCAGCTGTGTCCAACCTCAGCCATTTTACCTCTCTACAGAATTTTCTTCTTTCAATAAAGACATAAAAGGGTAGGTGGGGGTGGGAGGGAGGGGAGGGAGAGGGAGAAGGGATAGACATGTGAAGCAAGCTTGTTCCTAATTTGAACTAATAAATAAATAAATAAATAAATAAATAAACATAAAAGAAACAGTCCCACATCCTTTTCAAAACTGAACACAGTAGTCCTCCATGGGCTGAAAATAGGAATTAAGGTTTCCACATGACAAACAGCTATACATACCACATTCCAGAGGACACAGGGTCTAATGGCTCAGGATTTGACATCAGTGTATAAACATCAGTGACTCACTTTATAAACTATATTCTCTCCTTGATCATGACATTGTTCACCAATAAAAGTTAATCAAATCCAAGTTTACTAAAGTAAGAAACATGAAAAGCCATGCTGCTCTGGAAACCTATCATCTGGCTCATACTGACTTTAAAAGTGCCATAGCAAACCTATTGTCAAAAATGAACTCTTCAAATAAAGGTAATTTTAGGGTCTTTACATTTTAAAAGAGCAGGAAGCATCTAGTAAATTAGTGTGGTCCCTGTGCCAAGAAAGACAGACAGACAGACAATTTAGTCAGTACTATGTGAAGATGCCATCCACTCAGCGGGCGCTGTTGTTTAGTAGCACAGGAAAGTCTTTGAAAAAGAGAACCACACTGTCAAGTTAATTGCTCTTCTTTCCCTTCAAGCCTTAAGATCAAGGAAAAGCAAACACTAAAACTTGTAGGAGGAAACTGCTAGCAACTTTTCCATTTGCCATGTAGGCAACTGCTAACAGAGAAGCCCAAGGACAACAGCTGACTTGGAACTCTGTCAGATACTATGCTCCTAGAGATACACTCAGTAGAAAATGCTGCTTATAGATACGAGCCATGGCTTCCTTACTTACTAGCTACATGATGACTCAAGCATTGGTTTCCCCAATAATAAATTGAAGATAACACTACTACAGATTGAATGAGATATTTCATTTGAATAATATTGAATAATATTGAATAAATAATATTATTTATTAATATTATTTTCAGGTGTGTAATTTTTATTTATGCTGCATTTGTTTAATTTTGTGAAGCCGGTGTTTCTTTGCCTGTCTAAAATACCCGGTGGGCCTAAATAAAGAGCTGAAAGGCCAATAGCAAGGCAGGAACAAGGATAGGTGGGGCTGCCAGGCAAAGAGTATAAATAGAAGAAGGGAGGAAAAAGAAAAGACCAAGACAGCATGGAGAGAAGGACTTCAGGGGCCAGCCACCCAGCCAGGGAGAAACAAGGAAAGTCAGATATATAGAAGTAAGAGAGATAAAAGCCCAGAGGGACAAGGATGACACGATCTGACAGTCCGGGCAGTGGAGGAGAGGATGGCCTAGAAGCCCTTCCCCTAGAATGAG